CTGTCCACACCCAGAGTGGGTGCGCCTTGCTCATTTCCTCCCTCACATCCGTGACACCGGGCAGTGCCCGGGACAGAGAAGATCCTCAGGACGTGCTGACTACACAAATACAGTCTGTGCAGTAACACGACTGTAAATTCTCATGGCAAGAAAGCACTGGCGTTCAGACAGAATTCTGGGTGATTTTGCTGGAAAAATGCTAGCTTCTGTTGCTTCCAAACCAGTGCTGGTGAACTCTTAGAACGAAAGGAAAAAAATAGAAAAAGCCACATTTTTGTGGTATAAGAATCACTGCAAAAATAAAAACTCAAACACTAACTGTTTGGTTATGATGTTCACAAGACAGCTTCCAAGATGAGCCAACCTGCTTCAGAAACTCACCCGATCACACCAGCACCTGCTTCAGAAACTCACCCGTTCACACCCACACCTGCTTCAGAAACTCACCCGTTCACACCCGCACCTGCTTCAGAAACTCACCCGTTCACACCCACACCTGCTTCAGAAACTCACCCGATCACACCCGCACCTGCTTCAGAAACTCACCCGATCACACCCGCACCTGCTTCAGAAACTCACCCGATCACACCCGCACCTGCTTCAGAAACTCACCCATTCACACCTACACCTGCTTCAGAAACTCACCCGTTCACACCTGCACCTGCTTCAGAAACTCACCCGTTCACACCTATACCTGCTTCAGAAACTCACCCGATCACACCCGCACCTGCTTCAGAAACTCACCCGATCACACCCGCACCTGCTTCAGAAACTCACCCGATCACACCCGCACCTGCTTCAGAAACTCACCCGTTCACACCCGCATCTGCTTCAGAAACTCACCCGTTCACACCTACACCTGCTTCAGAAACTCACCCATTCACACCTGCACCTGCTTCAGAAACTCACCCATTCACACCCACACCTGCTTCAGAAACTCACCCGTTCACACCCACACCTGCTTCAGAAACTCACCCGTTCACACCTGTACCTGCTTCAGAAACTCACCTGATCACACCTGCACCTGCTTCAGAAACTCACCCGTTCACACCCACACCTGCTTCAGAAACTCACCCGATCACAACCGCACCTGCATCAGAAAGTCACCCGATCACACCCACACCTGCTCCAGAAACTCACCCGCTCACACCTACACCTGCTTCAGAAACTCAACTGTTCACATCCACACCTGCTTCAGAAACTTACCCGTTCACACCCACAACTGCTTCAGAAACTCACCCATTCACACCTGCACCTGCTTCAGAAACTCACCTGCTCACACCTGCACCTGCTTCAGAAACTCACCCGCTCACACCTGCACCTGCTTCAGAAACTCACCCACTCACACCCACACCTGCTCCAGAAATTCACGCGCTGACACCCGCACCTGCTCCAGAAATGTACCTGCTCACACCTGCACCTGCTTCAGAAATTCACCTGCTCACACCCACACCTGCTTCAGAAATTTACCCGCTCTCACCTGCACCTGCTTCAGAAATTCACTCACTCACACACACGGTGAATGGAACGGACACTCAGCAGCTGAAGATCAACATCTAAACCACGGCTCTGCTGGGGGCTGCTTCGCTATCTTGCAGGGTGACCTTGCAGAAATATTCTGCTTTTCGAAAATAATTTCTGTATTTCTTAAAAAGCAACCTTGTATCTGGGGAAGCTCTTGTCATCTAACCTGGGAGTGACTAATCTGAGACACACATGACGGATGATGCATGTGTGAGGGCACGGTGGCACATATAGCAAAGCATGTGCAGAGGCGCCGTAGCACACGTGGTGAAGCATGAGCAGGGGCACCATGGCACACATGACGAGGCATGAGCAGGGGCACCATGGCACACATGGTGAAACATGTATAGAGGTGCCATGGCACACATAGTGAAGCATGATCAAAAGTGCCATGGCACACATAGTGAAACACATGCAGAAGCACTATGGCACACGTGGTGAAGCATGAGCAGGGGCACCATGGCACATGTAGTGAAATATGTACAGAGGTGCCATAGCACACATAGTGAAGCATGATCAGAAGACCATGACACACATAGTGAAGCGTGAGTACAAGTGCCATGGCACACGTAGTGAAGCATGTGCAGAGGCACTGTGGTACTCATAGTGAAGCATGTGCAGAGGTACCGTGGCACATGTAGTGAAGCGTGAGCAGAGGCGCCGTGGCACATGTAGTGAAGCGTGAGCAGAGGCGCCGTGGCACATGTAGTGAAGCGTGAGCAGAAGCGTTGTGGCACATATAGTGAAGTGTGAGCAGGGGCACCATGACACACGTAGTGAAGCGTGAGCAGAGGTGCCATGGCACACGTGGTAAAGCATGAGCAGAGGCACTGTGGCACATGTAGTGAAGCATGAGCAGAGGCGCTGTGGCACATGTAGTGAAGTGTGAACAGGGACACCATGGCACACTTAGTTTGAGCAGAAGCGCTGTGGCACACGTAATGAAGTATGAGTGGGGCACCATGGTGCACGTAGTGAAGTGTGAGCAGGGCACCATGACAGACAGTGAAGCGTGAGCAGAAGCGCCGTGGCACACGTAATGAAGTGTGAGCAGGGGCACCGTGGCACATGTAGTGAGGCATGAGCAGATGCACTGTGGCACATGCAGTGAAGTGTGGCCTCCCAGAGGGAGGAGCAGAGTAGGAGCCCAGGCAAAGAGACCCTGGCTCGGGAGCCATGTGTGAGTGATGGGCTGTGGTGGGCATGTGAAGATGCAGATGCATGGGTCCCACAAGCATGGAAGGCACCCAGGTGCGTCCTTACACCCTCGAGTGTCCTGGCATGGATGCCGACTCCTACCACCACGTCTTGCTGAGAGACGTCCTGAGGGCTGGCTTATATTGGTGGCAGGTAAGTGTGAAAGATGTGGCTGTAACAGTGTTGTCTGTTCTTTCAACGATGACGCGCTTGCTGGGAACATTGTGGGACCTGCCCAGGGCTGATGTATGCTTTCTAGAGCATCTGTTGTCCGTCCCTGTGTGTCTGACCCCATAGGTTCTTACGATTTAATTTTTAGAATTGTCTATGACATGTGCAAACTCATTTAAAATGTGCAATCATGAAAGGGACACATTGCTATTAGCTGGTGATGGCTTATCTCAAGAACTTTCTATATTTCCGGGGACATTTGATATGGGTGGGACTTTTGTCCCCTCCACATCTCATGTTGAAATGTGATTCCCAGTGCCGGAGGTGAGGCCTGGCGGAGGTGATTAAATCACAGGGTGGCCCCTCATGAATGGCTCAGCGCCATCCCATCGGGGATGAGTGAGTTCTCGCTCAGTAAGTTCACTCGAGATCTGGCTGTTCAAGTCCAGGACCTCCCCCTTCTCTCTCGGACCCTCTCTCACCACCTGACGCAGGCTCCTGCTGCCTTCCACCACGACTGGAAGCTCCCTGAGGCTTCCCCAGAAGCTGAGAAGATGCAGGTGCCAAGCTTGTGCAGCCCGCAAAGCTGTGAGCCAATTACGCCTCATTCTTTATCAATTACCCAGCTCAAGTATTTCTTTACAGTGACGCAAAAGCAAACAAATGTGGTGTTTCAGGGAAGGCCGATTATATACACGTTTACTTTCTTGGAAGCATCCTGAAGTGTTCTGAATTATTTCAGATAACGATGCCATAGGCAGCGTGCTCCAGGTTGGGGCAGCATCAGGGACAGGGCCAGCCACGGTGAGGGGCAGGGGGTGCAGTGGGGGTGCAAGAAGACACTTCATTCCAAAGACTCCAGTGAGAACTAGCAACCCATTGACAGGCTCGTGCCAAAATGATGAAGGTTCTGGGCATCAGGGCAGATGTGGGGCCTCTAATTCTTGTGAAAGATGAAGGAAGGAGGGAATGGGCAGGGAAAGGGATGGCATCTTTTGCTACACCCAGAACCTTAGTGCAGCAGCCACTAGAGGCCAGGGAACCCAAAGATGGTTTGAACGCAGGACCTGGGAGAGGCCAGGAGAATCGGACTTCACCAGGGTTTGGGAATGCTTGGAGCAGTTGTGCCATCCCAGCTGAGGACCCCTGGTCCCAGGTCACCTCCAGGCAGACAGGCAGACTTTTTTCAGATAATGATGCCATAGGTAGCCTTGCCAGGTTGGGGCAGGGTCAGGAACAGGGGCCAGCCATGGTGAGAGGCAGGGGGTGGGGAGGGGGTGCAAGGAGACGCTTCATTCCAAAGACTGACCAGCTGACTAAGCTCTCTTATTTTTGGTCCTTTGGCTGCAATGAAACTTGCACTGACAGGCGCAGAGAGTGTGGGTGAGAAACGCTCCACGCCGGGGTTGTGCATATGGGTGAGAGCTACCCAACAAAAATAAGACTTGGGGGCTTTCTGCTGACTTAATATCCTCCCTCTTAAATGGTTACTCTGGGTTAAAACCAACAGCAAACCTAGCTCCTCCTCTGCCATGGAAGGCAGCATGCAGAATCTGCAAACAGACTCTCAGGGAAGGTCCTTGGGAAGGAGGATAGCTCCACTCAGGGCTGGGTTACCGGGAAAAGGAGGCGGTGGCAGCTCGTCCGTGTCACAGCTAAAGATAGATGGCCTGATTTGGAAAGGAGAAAATCACTGAGAAAAGCTGTGCAGAACTGCTTCAAACTTGCAGCCTGGAGCATCTCTGCACACACCCACTGCCGCCTAGCCGGGCTTGCTGAGCTTCATGAAAGAGAGTGCAGATTCAACCTGAGCATCTCAGATGCGCTGTTCACAAACAGATGGGCTGCCCTGCCTGGGGAAATTGTTTTCAAGTCACCCTGGGCTCCCTAAAAGTTCCACCATCTGTGAAAACCCACACACAGGCACCAGCTCCTCGGGAGCCCAAGCAGGGGGGCCTTGGTGCCGGCCGCCACCCGCTGGGGCTAGGCTCTGTCCCCCTCGGCACGAGGCAGGAACTGCGGAGCCGCAGCACCGAGAGGAAGGGGACCCTGCAGTCACGCAGCCCAGGGAGGGGCTGGGCGCAGGGCAGAGCCCTGGCGGCACTTACTGCGATGCGCAGGACGGACGCCTTCACGGAGGTCCATTTGTCCCGCCGCCGGTCTATCAGCAGGATGAATCCGATGCCAGCGTCCTGCAGGCTGCAGTGAGGAAGAGACGCCGCCGTTAATGTGTGCAGGTGGGAAGCTGCTGCCCACGAAGCCCCTAGGAAAACCTCCCGGGAAAGCGGTCCCCCCTGTATTCATGATGCCACTTCCGCAACACCAGGTGAGAGTGATGCCACATGGGGGTCTCGGCAGAGCACGGCGTTTCCTCGGGGGGCCCCTGCAGCCCCATCCCCAGAGTCCCAGAACCTGCTCTTTTCTCAGGAAGGGCAGACACTTTCAGCATGTTCTCAGCGCTCAGCCTAACACCAGCCACCTCAGTTCACACACCCAGGCAGAACCGCGTCTCCCAAGCTCAGTCATTTTATATTCCACAGGAACAGCCGAGTCATCTCCCTTTCCTGAGTGACCAGCTGACTAAACCCTCTAAAACAGTCTTATGGCGCATACATCTCGCTGGTCCTGGCGTCTGAGGTGCCCGTGCTGGTCCCAGTCAAGGATTCGCTCGTGGTGGCGTTGCTACGGTGCTGGGAGAGAATCCCCAAGACATCCAGAGGTTCCCAGGCATCTGCTGGAAACAGGAGCAGAGACGGCACTCTCTGCGACAGCCACATCTGTGACAGAGACCACACTTGCGCGTTGTGTAACCACAGCCTCCGTCCTCGGCTGGGGCTGGCGGCAGGAGCCTGAGTCACGGAGTAGAGGCGGAGAGGCCTCTTCCGCGGGCTCACTCCGCAGCCAAGCCAATTGCACGATGCCAGCAGCTGCTACCACCAGCCAATCCACAGCAGAAACAACCACACAGGCACGCCTAAGGCAGGGCTGTAACTGCTGATTTCCAAGTCTCTGTACATGTCCTGGGTTTACACAAAAATCAGAATTCTACAGGACACAGATCAATTACGCAGTGAGAACGCTCTGCACGCTGTAAGCATCATTAATGAAGCAAGGGACTTAAGCAGATGTCTCAGACCCTTCTGACGCTCGGATTTAAAAACAGAAACAGCGACCCCCAAGACCACGAAGACACGGCAGCGACCCCCGAATGTGCGTGGGTGCGTGGCTGTGTGTGCTGCTGCTTCTGTGTCCCTGTCTGCACCTGATAGTGAAGAACTCCTCATATACAGGAAGTTTGATTCAGTCACAGCAGAAACCTTCTGGGTAAGTGCATGAATAAACATCAGCTTTCATTCAAAGCAGTGTTCTGCAGTGGGCACCAGAGTGCTGCACACACGGGGGGTCAGCCCCTCCATTTCACAGCTGTGGGGGCACAAACAGAATTCATTTTTTAATCTGGCCTAGTTCTCATAAAGCTAAGATTTTTTTAAAGTTATATTTTCAGCCGGGCATGGTGGTTCACACCTGTAACCCCACTTTGGGAGGCTAAGGTGGGTGGATCGCTGGAGCCTGGGTGTTCAAGACCAGTCTGGGCCACATGACGAGACCACATGTCTACACGAACAAAGATTAGCTGAGTGTGGTGGTGTGGCCTTCTTTGGGAGGCTGAGGTGGGAGGATTGCTTGGCCCAGGAGTTTGAGGCTGCAGTGAGCTGTGATGGCAACATCGCCCTCCAGCCTGGGCAACAGAGCGAGACTGTCTCAAAAAAAAGAAGTAAATAATGTTTTCATATTTCTGTATTTACTTCCTGAGTCTGAGCACTTTGATGACTTTTGCTGAACTGTGAGATGCAGTAGGTACAGGAAATCTTACCCCTGTTTAGACTGGTGTGCTCCCTTGGGAGAGGCACAGAGTTACAAGTCATCCTCCAGAAACAGGCGCTCAATGTCCCTTTTCCACAATGGGACCTTGGATACGCCAGGTCACGGAGACAGAACCCAGCTCCCCTCCCTCCTGCCCCAGGCGGTGTGGTCAGAGCTGCCTCTGGACTCCAAGCCAGGGAGCCGGGCCCAGAGCTCTCTGAGTCCTAGTCCTCCTAGAGTGGAGGAGAAAGAGCCCAGAACGCTTGACTTCTGCTGAGCACATAATCCCACTCCTCCCAGAGTGAAGGAAAGAAGAGCCCAAATGATCAATTTCCACTGAGCACAAGATCCTCAGACCAGCAAACCCACTCAAGTGCTCTCAAGTCCTGAAGCAGGGGTCTGAGAAACACGCCAAGTTGCCCGTCTGCAGGGTTTGCTATAGAGCCCCTGCGGAGGGGCTGTGGGTTGGGCCAGAGGGGCTCACCACCTCTGTGACACTGGCAGGTTCTGCCAGGCTCTGCAAAGGCATCGCCCTGGACAGGTGATTCAGCTGTGGACCACCTCTGCTTCCTTTTCTGCAGAAATGAGGACAGTCATGGAATCCACCCCTGGGGGTGACCGTGAGAGTGAAATGAAGCCACTGAGTGTGCCGCAACCCGAAACGCTGGCTGAGTGGCATCACTGTTTTGCAGAGTGACAAAGCCTGACTCAGTTTCTCCCCTGGGATAGAGCTCTGACTGGGGTGGAATCTCAGCCTCTGTGTCAACCAGTGAATCCCCTCGGTACTCCATATCAGGCTAGGACCAGCAACCACGATCACGACTGCCGTGGGAGAGCTGCTGGACGCAGAACACACCCCCCAGACTTCTGTGACCCAAACACACTCAATTCCAGCCATGGAGCTTCTGTCTCACATGTGGCCAAGCTCCTGCCTCACTGTCCGCAGCGCCCAGTGACCCCCACATCCAGCTACTCGCCCCATTAGGTGCACATCTGTCTCACACCCAGGCAGTGCAGGCTGACGCTGCAGCCATGAAAAGATGCCAACACCACTGGGAGGCGGCCCGGCCTGCCCATGCGGGCGCTTCCACTCACTCTATGTGCACACAACTTGAGTTTAAAAAGTTCTAAGATATAAAAATCTTTATGTTACATTGTAATAGGAACACCAGTATCCCAAATAGACAACTGTTTTCAATGAGAAACCAAAGTTACCAACCAAAAATATCTTTTAGAAGTCAAAATTGTAAGTGAAATGTAACCTGCTATAAATTTATCCAACTCACAAAACGCACACTAGGAAACCAGTTTCTGAACAAGAAGGACGGACTGGTTTCCAGGTGGTGGCCCTGGGCGTGGCTGTTGCTCAGCTGCGGAAGGGGTGGCACCTGCATGGGACCACAGCGCCAGTTCCTCCTGCCCGGGCCGTGCTCAAAATTGTGGGTGCTGGCACAGGGAGGGCACGGGAACAGTGAGGGCAGGAGGCTCGCTTCTTCAGGGAGAGGGACTTGTGCTCCGGGGTTGCTACGGAGCAGGCAGTGAGCCAGCAGCCCTATCGATATTCATCAATCTCCGGTGACCATCCCAAGAGGCTGGTGCTAAGATCCTCTGCAGGCACAGAAGGCTTTAGTCACTCGCCCAAAGTCACACAGCTGTGAGCACAGACAGGGGAACCTGGCTCAGGTGCCACAGGAGCTGCTCTTAAGGCCACCCCCACCCTGGCGGCCTCCTAGTGCTCCCACCAAGCAGGGGCCTGACCCCAGATGCCCACACAGCAGCACTCAGCCTCCTGCTCTGCATAGCCGTCACTATGACCTTGGTCCCTACGCAGGGCTCAGGTGGACACTCGTCCACGCCTCCTCAGTCTCCTCTCCTACCATGTTTCGGGAACACCGACTCAGAAGGGGCTGATGCGAGGAGGTCAGGAGCCCCTGGTGCCTCCTCTACGCGTATGAACTGTGGTCCTGTGGCACGTGGCTTTCCTGAGGCTGCACTGCCCAAAACCGTAAGGCAGGACCTGGATCTGCTCACAGAAGCAAGGACGGGGGCTTACGGAGCTTGGACACGCGCCCACATCTGTGGCCTCCTGTGCCTGAGGGAGAGGGTGGTGTGGCTCCCACATCTGTGGCCTCCGGTGCCTAAGGGAGAGGGTGGTGTGGCTCCTGCCTAATTCCAGCAGGAAATGATCCCCAGGGTCCCCAGAGGGAGGAAGGTGGTGCCGCAGGAGGTGGTGAAGTAACTCAAGCTGGCAGTCATCCAGAAATGCCCTGAGTACCCGGGACATGAACGCGCCCACAGGCGCTCCAACATCAGCCTCCAACTCTGCAACAGTTACCCTTGGAGGGGACGCCCTGGCCGGCCACCCAGCAGCCAAGTTTGAGGTCAGTTAGATCCCTTCTGGCCCAGAAAAGGCCCAGCGGTCTCATGAACGGTTTCAGGATCGTTCCAATCACTGCGTCTTCTCTGAGAGGCCCAAACCGCTCAGGGCTCCTGTGTGAGCCCTGTGGTCCCCCACCCACGTGGGCAGGCAGCCCACAGCTCACTGGACCACAGCTCTGGACAGGAGTGGAGTGTGAGGGACACTCTGGATGCAGAGGCTGGCTGCTCCCTGCCAGTGGGGCAGGAAGGCCCTGGCACCACATTCCTCTGGTGCCTGGCTATCTGCCTTTGCTGCATGGACATGGTGGGGGCAAGAAGGATGCTTCGCCCCAGGGTGGGGGCAGGCAGAGGCCAGGACATTGGAGCAGCAGCTCTCAGGAATCAACAGTGTGTGGCCAGGAGGGGTTGAGGGGACATGAGGCCCAGGCAGGAGGAAGGGGACCCTTGGTGCCTTTGGTTCTCAAACATCAACCTGCACCTGAGACGGGAAGAGGAACCCAGGAGAAAGGTCCCCGAACAGCAGGATGGCTGTGTCCTCAGGAAAAGCAAAACAAACACACACAGAGGACCCTCCCTGCACCGGGTGGCTCAGTTACCTCGGCCCTTCTGGGATGGAGGACGTGGCACCTCAGCTCTTCTCCTTGGAGGACACCTTTCTTTACGTGAATATTTTGTCCAATTATAATGCACATCATGCAGAAGTACAGAGGGTGAGTGATGGCAGTGAGTGCCCAGACTGAGAGGCCGTTCCCTTTACCCAGGGTGCCCCATCCCCACTCCTGTCACCATCGATTCGTCTTGCTTGCTTTTGAATTTTGACCAAATAAAAATATGCAATATGTGCTTTTTTGGTGTGTGGCTTCTTTCAACATTGCAGGATTCACCCATGTTGTTGCAGTGGGGTGTCTGTTCATTCTTGTTGCTGGGTTAGAGTATACATATATGATGACATATGG